ACAGACTCAGCTCCACCCCCCCCAACACAGGCTCAGCTCCGCCCCTTCCTCCCATAACAGACACAGCTCCGCCCCCCAGGGGACAACCAATCACTGGGGTACACACCTGATAGTGGTGGCTTGCAGACTATCGCCCACCTGCACCAGGTTATAGGCGTGCCACATATCCTCCGCCTCCTCCGGGACCAACGTCACCTGACTGAGAGAGTGACAGGTCACATGACACCCCATCCTTCACCTATACCGAGAAGAGGTACTGTGCAGGGTCCATGCATACAGGACAGATACCGAGAATGACCCCCGGCATACAGGACAGATACCGAGAATGACACGCGGCATACAGGACATGAGAGGTAGTACTGTGCAGAGTCCATACACACAGAATAAGAACAGATACCGAGAATGACACCCGGCATACAGGACAAGAGAAGTGGTACTGAGCAGAGTCCATACATACAGGACAGATACCGAGAATGACACCCGACATACAGGACAAGGGAAGTGGTACTGAGCAGAGTCCATGCATACAGAATAAGAACAGATACCGAGAATGACACCCGGCATACAGGACATAGGAAGTGATACTGTGCAGAGTCCACACATACAGAATAAGGACAGATACCGAGAATGAAACCCGGCATACAGGACAAGGGAAGTGGTACTGAGCAGAGTCCATACATACAGAATAGGAACAGATACCGAGAATGACACCCGGCATACAGGACAAGGGAAGTGGTGCTGAGCACAGTCCATACATACAGAATAGGAACAGATACCGAGAATGATACCCGGCATACAGGACAAGAGAAGTGATACTGTGCAGAGTCCATACATACAGAATAGGAACAGATACCGAGAATGATACCCGGCATACAGGACATGAGAGGTAGTACTGTGCAGAGTCCATACACACAGAATAAGAACAGATACCGAGAATGACACTCGGCATACAGGACAAGAGAAGTGATACTGTGCAGAGTCCATACACACAGAATGAGAACAGATACCGACAATGATACCCGGCATACAGGACATGAGAAGTAGTACTGTGCAGAGTCCATAGACACTGCACTCAGGGAGGTTGTACTGAGCACGGTTGTCTCGCTCACCCAACATTGTCTTTCTCGATGTCTTTACGGAGGAGCTTCATGTTTGTGCTGAGTTTTGCGGTTCTCACTCATTGGAGTAACATGGCGTATGAAGCCAGCCGGCCGCCATGTTTGTACACCCTCCGTCCTCAGCCCTGCAGTCAATATAATAAATAAGCGGAGAGTCTGAGTGGCGGAGATCAGCGTGAGAGATCCACAGAAAAGAAATCACCGCCTAACAATCCCAGCAACGAAGACAAGCCAACCATGCTGCACAGTGTGGACTAATATGGCGGTGGGAGCACTTCCGGTTATATCTGCTTATTCCACATTCAGCCTGCGTGTACTTTCCTGTGTCGCTCCTTTTCTGGGTCATCAGGAGCGCCATATTAACTGAGGGCAAAATAGTAAAGACGTCACATAAACCAGCAGAGGGCGCAGAATGATGATGATGATGATGATGATGATTCTTATACATGTATATCGCTCTGCCATACCTCAGAGTCACTCTGTGTGGCAGAGGAGCTTACACTCTTTCTATAGCTGTGTGAAGTGTCAGGGATGATATGAGGACCCCTAAGTGTCAGTATTGGAGGGGCCCCTGTGTATCATGTACGAGGGGTCCATGTATTTTATGGGGGGGGTTGCTGTTCCCAGTCCGGCCTCCAGGGGGCTCTGTTTCCTAGGAATGTCATACCATGTGATCGCTGAGCAGTCTCCAAGTGAGATGTGATTGGTTGCTATGGGTTACCACACTGGTCTGGCCTCCAGTCCCCTCTCCATTGTTGTACACAGGGAGGTCCTGGACCACAGAGCTGACAATCTATCCCACGACACGGCTCTCCTGGCGGGAAGGGGTTACTGTGTGTAGCCGGAGATGTTCCGCTATGATCGGGATAATGACGGATATTATCTCCGATATATACACATTGACTGTGATGGGGGTTGTGTGTTCTGTTCCCAGAAGCTGACACTCGCCCCCTCCCCCTCCAGTGGAATGATGATAATGGGGTTTCAGTGAAACTTCCCTCCCAGGTGAGGACACTTCCCTCATTGTTCCTCCTCCACCTGACTCCACTCTCTGTGTGATGTCATCAGAGGGGTATATAACCTCAGGGAGGGGGCAGGTGACCATCACTTCCACTACTCT